CCCAGAGTAACTGAAATAATCCTGGCTGAATAATGTTCACAATGGTGAAATCACTATTACAGATAAAATAGACTTTTGGAGGGCTCAGGGGTCTTATTTAGATGTGGTCCAATCCAACTCAGATAGAACTTCGCAGGACAGTTTTGCTCAGAGGCTTTTTTGACTGTACATACAGTATAATCACCACTCAGTTGTAGTTTCAGGGTACTATCTGCATGCAAGCATACTTACATCTCCTCTAAATAAATGGAGTAAATTACATGGCAATGAAAGACCAGAAGAGCTGGAACTTAAAAACCTTGCTTTATCACCAAAGACCAAGTTGCCAAGTTATATCTGCAGTGCACTTTAGAGGCACGTTTATTATTCTTGTTGACAACACAGCTAATATTCTATAATTTGTTTGGTATTTCATTTAATGGGTGGCTAAAAACACGCATGATGCCATTACCAAACAACTTCCTTCGCATACACAGCACAGAAACTTACAGCAAAACAAATCTGCCTCCCAGATTTTCCATATACACTTCAAAAGTAGGTGTTTCCAATAACTATGCCTATTTGAGGAGTGCCGGCAGCCTTCCTTCCAGCATCACGCTTCTGTCTATGCACCCTCCTACTCTTCTCCTCACTCCATCTGTGTTTGTAGAACACATGGGAAATCAATCAAAAACATACCAAGCTTTTAGAGGGCTGGAAAAGGAGAGCAGAAAATTAAAGGGGGATAGGGGGGCAGGTCATGAACAGGGAAGCATTGACTTGGACCAGTCACTCCACTATTCTTTGACTTTGTACACAAGATCAGTTACCAACTGGCTTCTACCTTTGAAACAAAATAAAAGTGTTATTTCAACATTGCAAAGGTTGCCTAGGGCAAGCAGAGGAAAGAAAAAAACCCACCAGTGGCATTTGAAATCCTGGTTCTTCTTCTCTAAATCTTTTCCAATTGTTGTGTATCTTGTTTGAGGTGAAGGGACTAGACTAAGACACAGCCATCAGGATGCAGATTTGGATGAGTATTGGATGGATCTGTGCAAGGGCATAACGATGCTCTTATGCCCAAGTAATTCCTGTCATATAATTTGGTTTTTTACTGCTATCAAGACAATGTTTTTATAGATCTATTTATTAATTGTGATCCTATTGGTGTTTTCCACAGATAAAATTTTACAATTATATACCTTAAATTTATCTATCATTTTATGTAACAAAGAGTCTCTGCGATGCTCCACAATCAGTTACGTCTTCTCTTTACCTCGAGTAACTTAGATAACACCACTGTTTGGTGTTTGTACATTATTATTCTAAAATATGTTCTCAGAATATACTCTAGTTATGTTTCATTTTACATTTAAACTATATATGTCAAGCCATTTCTACAGGGCACACAGAGTATATATATCAGTACGATTTAGAATGCTTAATCTAGTTTTTGTTAAGCTTCTGCTCTATATGGGAGATTTTTATTAGCTTTGAAGAAGATATATATTATCAGGTTAAATAGAAAAAGATTCAATATTCACTTTCATTTCAAAATCATTTACAGCTCCTAAATTCACAATCACTTCATTCAGATGGGGAAAAAACAGAAATAAACAGAAATAAACAGAAATAAAGCTACAATGCTCAAAATTTTATATTATTTTCTCATTTTAAAAGGAGCATGCTTTTAGTCTGTAATGTGCAGGAGGTAACCACTATTTTTGTTGTTCCTACCACTTGCTCTGGTAAAATTCCTTCTTCCCTTTAATCATCACATGTCTTTACACATATATGTCAGTTAAAGCACACATGGCCACAAGTTTCATTGCATTCTTAAATGTGTTGATAAATTAATCAGTTTCTAACCTCCTGAGTGTCTCTTTTATCATTTTGAGGACAAAGTCAGATGCATGATGAACCTTGAATAAATTAGTCAGGGTCAGGCTTAGATAAGCCTCTTCATAACGTGATGATTACAGCTTTTTCTGAACCACATAATCTGGGCCGACTGCTCAAAACAAACACAAATCTGGAAGTGCAGTACAGTTTGCACTTGCACTCCCAAGCTCAAATTTGAATCCTACTAGTTACGACCTTTTACCTACAGTATTACATTCCAAAAGCTACTTCCAAATTTCACTGAAGCAGTGGCACTTCAGCCACAGCGCCAGAGGAGTCACGGTTAAGTAGTACAGTTCTGGCCTGCCCTATAGGTCAGATTAAAAAATATAAATTTTTGTACTACATTAAAACCAGGAGAGGATTCATATTAATTTTAGCTCTAGCACTTGGAGTTATGGAGAAATCAATTTTTAATTAGACAGTAACTTTTAAGATTATTATTAAAGCTAATTATTACCCCACAAAGGTATGTTATAGAAGAGTAAAACTTCTACTACTGTTAAATGGACAAGTTTGTCTCAGTCTTAATAAACAAGCAATGATGCTAAGAACAATCACAGCCATCTCAAGACCACCACAAGCAAAAACAACACAAAAAATGAGTAAAAAAGGTAAAACTGTAGCAAAGAAAACTAGTTATCTTAATATCTGCAGCTTTACATAAAAACCTGGTTTAAAAAAAAATTAAAAAAACAACCTACCATCACATCAGTGAGCATGAGAACAGAATCTCACATAACAAATAACCCTGCTCTATTCTCTTATCAGATAACCTTGAGTATATTTCTAACATGATTTCAAAACAGATCTATGTGGCATTCTAATCACACAGACTAAATCTATCCAACACATAGCCAACCTATCCAACACATCTAAGAGCTGAAAAATTTGTTGATTTAACACAGGCTCAAAAATTACTTCCTCTCCCCATGCATAAACTTCCTTTTTAGCCTAATACGTATCACAAAACAACTTCACTCAGTGAAAGAGTTTGGATGATACAGAAGACATATAAGAACTAACAACTTTGTAAATACAGACTCCAACACACTCTCATCTATCAAACATCTGTATCCCTATTTTCTGTTTGATAAAACACTATTACAGATTTTACACACGTTTTCCTCATTAAATACAACAGAATGGCCCTTTCCACAGATTTTTGATGTAAATTTCTAGTATTCCCATCATCCAATATAAGTATTTCCAGCTTGAGATGATATAAAATAAAAAAAGAAATCAAGAGGTAAAGTAGATCCAATGTATAAAATGTAATTTTGGATAGTGTTGAGTATTTCAGATTAATTATAAACCCAGCAATTAACATCATATGTAAGATCACAGCAGATCACTCAGCTAACTCTCTGCAGAGACTGGTTATGCTTTTCTGATAGATGACATCAAACTCAACAACTAACCTTAGCCAGCAAGCACAGATATAACGTTGATCTTAAAAAAAAAAAATAATAATTAAGGGTACTAATACTAGCAAGATTAAAAAAACAAATGACCTTCCAATTAAGCGTGACAAAAGTTTTACTGAAAACAAAACCAAAAAAAAAATCACTTGAAGTAAAATTGGGAGGGTAAAACTGGTGCTTAAAGCAATGTTAATTAATTAAATTTCACTTTTGAACATCTTATTAAATTTGCTATTAGATAGACTATGTCATGCAAGTGAATAAACGCTATTTATAATCCCTAAGCCACAGCAACTCAGTCATAGAGCTATTTCCCAGACTGTGTTATTGTTATGCCAAACAGACTACTCTTTCATTTCTTGTCAGTTGTAATTACAGTTCCATAATTGAAATACAGTAAATTACCATGCAGTAACTTTGAAAGATGGTTCATTGAGGTTAAGCTGTCACTATAATTACTGTATAATAAAAAATGATAATTTAAATGTTCTACTTTTTTCTCAAAGAAAAGATGAATTCAGTTCAAACAGCTCAGATGACTCAAATACCTTCATGGTGATGTAAACAACGAGAAACAACACATTTAAGCAAAGCCAAACAACCCCAAGTAGAAGGCCTAGACTGCATAAACTGTACATAAACTTTTCCAATCACTGAAGAAAATTGCCCATTTAAAAACAATCCTTTAAAAGAAGACATCATCAAAATTCAGTCATAAACTATCTACCCAGAATCTTCCATATGTGCCCCTATTTTGCTCATAAAGCGTAAAAAACTTCAGAAACTTCTTCCAAGTATCCAGTTTAATTTTGATTCAGTTCTACATTATGTTTTCAGCTACAACCAGTAGGATAACTGCAACACACCTAACACCAACGAGGTTAAGGTAGAAGATATAAATTAGCACAGACATTTCCAACTATAAACCTGGGCCTACAATTTTGACTTACATTACTAAAGCAGCTTGCCTGTAGAAATTTTCTCAAATACTTGACAGAAATAAAATGAGGGAAAGGGATACAGAAAAGTAATTGTAAAAATAATGCTCAAAATTTTATGAGAGCTGTTCCCTCGCAAAAGAAACTTTCAAGAAATTCCTAACTGCTATCTCTGCAAAGATAATTTCATAAAGGACATATTTGGGAAAACAGTAACAGATGTGCATATCTGAAAATTGTTCCTATTCTCCCAACTCACAATGACCTCCTGCTGATGCTGGAAGAGGCAATTCCTTCAGCTCTGTTTTCTTCCTGTCTGCTTCCAGACACTCAGTCCCTGCTGTTTAAATTGTCCTGGCACTCATCTGACTACTCCATAAATAAGGACAAAGGAAACTGAAAAACCCACAGTAGTAAGTAATTGAAGGGACAAGGTGGGACAATGTAACCAGGAAACGGGATGTGACACAAGGAACTGAAAGTAGCAACAGTGGGATGCAAACAACTGCAGCAAACTCCTAGAAGCTCCAAAATTGTAATAACTGGTTGAAGAAAGAGCCACAAGTTCAGCTGTGACAATCAAAATATTACAACAGTGTATGAAATAAAACTTATTCTCAGCAGCTAAGAATCCCCTAGCTTAAATCTTTACCTATTTATTTTGCTTAGAAAACAGTATCTGAAAGCATCTAGGATATGACATCTGAGAGAGGTAAGATTTTTCCCTGTAGAGATTAACTGTAATTACTTATTTCACCTCTGTTGCTTTCTCCAGGCTCTGTTGTAGATGGAGTAATTCTTTATCATGTTGCTCTTTAAGTTTATCCAACTCCATGTCATGGCTAGATACTTCTTCTTTTAGTGCTCCCTTTAAAGCTGTAAGCTCTCTCTCTCTTTTTCTCAAAATCTCTTCTTGTTGATCTTTTGCTATTAATACCTCTTGCAGATCCTGCTTCATTTGCATCAGCTCCTAAAAACCAAAATTAAACACAACTGCATGACAAAGAGCTCCCATAGAGGTTCTGTTTGTGTTTCAGACAAGGAAAGCATGAACTTCCCAAGGTCAACTTCAGTTCATATGACCAATGTACTTTTTGTGGCTTTTATAATAAGCTAAAAATTTACTAAACTCTAAGATTATTAGAAGTGTAACATATAGCTAATGGGCCAACATATCTGATGCTGCATAACTACCACAAGATTTTTATGACGTATGTTACGTCATCTCTAACTAAAGCAGGAGTCAAAGCTGCAAATCTCCTACCTCTAGTAGGAGATAAGTAGTCAAGAACAAAGAAAAACCTTTTATTCCCCACACTGAAAGAGAAGTGAATTCAGTGATAATTCCTTTCTACCAGAAAGAATAAACTAAGTTGCCTCTTCAAGTGCTGAAGACAAAAGAAGTGCTTCCCAATTCAGTCCATGCCTTTACACCCTTCCTCCTTCCACAATGTTCACCCTAGAAGTCACTTCCCCCTTCAAATTTCTGGGACGGAAGTGGGTAGTCAGTGAACATGAAGAATAAATATACACATGCATGTGTACAAACACAGAATAAAATAATAACAATCCTAGATCTGTTGTCTATGGTTTTGTACCCTACTTCACATTTTAACATTTAGCTTTCATTTCTTTAGCTAGTTCTTTGCAACAGTAGTATTAAGAGAAGTTAATTATTTTGGTACTACAAAGTATTAAGATAATTCTGAATTCTAATCTTTCTTTTGAACCATTATGCACTGATTCTCTTACACACCCCTACCAACAAATTTAATAAGCAGTGCTCTCTATTTCATCATCAGTATATTACTATAACCAAGGCTACAGTCAATTCCTCCTTCATCTCAAGGTGACAGAAAACCTGTAACTCTTTTGTTCCTCTTCAAACTCTATCCATTCCCTTCTGTCCCATCAATAGAGAGTCAGCAATTTAGAGACTGCTTTGGTGAGTTCTTTTAATTTTCTTAGTCAAATCTCATCTGGCCTTGCTAATATGTTCAACTCTTTTAAACTAATCTTCCCTGTTCTGACCCAAAATCCTATCTAATTTTTAAAACTGATTGAGATTATTATTTGGTAACTGTAGATAATTCCGCTGTCCCTCAACCACTATGTCATTTCCTCTCCTATCGCATAAAACAAAGGTACTTTTACTCTGTATTCCTTAATATACTCCTACTTCCTTAAGTCCCTTAATAACAGTATATTGTTTTGGACTGACAGAATAGGAAAGGCTAAGACATGTATTTCTTCTACATGTATCTTAGTTCCCATTTTTATGCAGTTCTTTTTGCAACATTCTTCTCGTACTTTATAACTAACCTCAATCAGAACCTCTTTCTCCCCTTCATCAGTATGTTTTGCACTATCCAGTTCATCATGCATCTCAGAGAGTTGGTCTTGAAGATCTCTGATCTCAGTCTGGTGTTGCTCCTGCTCCATCTTCACTTGAAAAAGCCTCATCAGGAAACATCAGAGAGAATTTTTTAATTTGTAGAAATACTAATTTGTTTTTTCAAGTACTAGAAAAATACAAGTATCTATTCCCATGTTCCCCACAAGGGAATGGGATATAAGGAAGCAGAGAAACGAAATGTCAGAGGTGTAAAAAATAAGAACTCTTTTAAGTAGATACTTAAGTGGAAAATTGTATTTTATTTTAAATCTGGTACTAGATTCTTTACTAAAGCATTCCAGTGCTTCCATATTTTAAAGACCTTAACTATATATTATGACCAAGAAATATTAAAAGCAATTCACACTAAGAGGAACACTATAAATAAAGCGATCATTCTCCTCCATCTAGATATTCTAAAACCGTGCCTCTTTTAAACAGTAGAAACATTTCCTACAATAACAAATGTCACTCTGTCTGCTTCCACAGTCTGAAGACACAGTTACCTTTAATCTGAAAGGTTTAAGAAAAGGTACAAATTCCAATGAATAACTTTTCTAAAATTAACTCACTCCTCTAGGTTATGTCTGAGTTCCTTCTCATTTTCTTCCAGTTGCTTTTTTAAGGCTTCTTTTTCACGTATATTTTCATCAAGTTGCAGCTGAAGATCTTTCAGGCTTGCTCGCGTAGCATCTCTCTCTTCTTTGGAATCTTGCCGATTCTGAATTTTGTGCAGCAAAAGTTAAGCAAGATCATTGATTAAGCATAAATAAATTAAAGGCTCCTTCTTACTATATGAAAGAAGCCTTTTCACTTGTAGAAAAGCTTATTAATTTATGAACATTAAAAGCTTTGCATGTTTATTAAAACACACAAAGCACTTCTTTTTGATTTTTATTAGAAATGTGAGAATGAAGTCTCCTTGGTACTACCTAATCAGTTTCAAGTATATTGACTCTTACAACAGACTCAAAATGCAAACAAGAAACAGAATGCAAACAAATTATTCTCATGTCTTTCAGAGCATGGCTGTACTTAACTACTTTGAATTCAGCACGACAAAAATAATGCTGTAATTAATAAACAGTATCTACATGAGTAATACAATTTGTCTCTCACTCCACATCTGTCTCATCACAGTCAACACATTAACATTTAACTTTGCATATACCTAAGGAATTATATGTGCGTGTGCCTACCATTTTTTTCACTGCTCCAAACTTCTTCTCAAATATTAAGAAAAAAAGAGATTTTTTTAAAAAGGGTAACTATGTTGCGAACAACTACACTTAAAATAAAAAGTCTTCTGTAAAAGCACAGCTATATATGGACTAAAAAAAATTAAAAAGATTCACCTGGGTGATCAATTTCACTTACAAAACTATCTGAAAGTCAATAGTTTTATAACAACAAAGTGCCATACCTGAATTTCTAGATCCAGTTTTTTCTCTAATTCTTCCACTTTCCTTTCAAGTTCTGCTTTTTGTTCCACCAATGCTTTTACTTCGGCTGAAGAATCTGAAACCTATAATTAAATAGAGTTATTTATTCCCACAAAACTATCATGTTCTTTGACAACTGTTTTTTAAAATCTGAAGTAAAATAAGGCTAATAAAGTGTAACATCACCTGCCTCAGCTTACCAAGACTTTTCATATGGGTTAAGGCAAGCTAATATTTTCAAAGGAACTTTGGTAATTCCTCAAGGCATAGTGCCAATAACACAGAAAATACACAAACCTAAAGAAAAATTCAAATTAGGCAACATATAAATTAAATCACAAGTTCTTAGGGCCAAATTTGACTGAGATATCAGCAGTTACAGAAAATGGACATCAAAGGGATTCATGCTCATATGTCAAGACTGATTTTAAGAAATTACTAAAAGAACAGTTTTTAAAGACTTGCTTTATGTTTTCATTTTGACTAATTATAGCCCATGGTAAAATAATCATCAAAAGTAAGCATTTAATCCTTCTTATGTCATCACTGCAACAACTGGGCATTTCTTCACTTTGCCATAGAATTGAAAAAACAGTGCACCGTGTAGCAGGAAACAAACTTTTTAGTATGCAGACTGTCAAATATTATTATTGTAATATGACTTTTAAAAATATCCAAGATTAAGTTGTAATTTAGAAGAGCAGTAAAGACTGTCTCCACTTAGATATCTATGTACACCACTGTAATGAGAAGATGCTCCACCATGATTTTTAAAGCTTTTTCTTTGATCTAACAAACTTTTGATGCTTAAGTTTGCCCAAGATTACTGCTCTTCTAAATTACAACTTAAAGACTGTCTCCACTTAGATATCTATGTACACCACTGTAATGAGAAGATGCTCCACCATGATTTTTAAAGCTTTTTCTTTGATCTAACAAACTTTTGATGCTTAAGTTTGCATCTCTTCCAAAATGTAGAAGCAAAATGTAGAAACTCTCCTTTACATTCTTTTTTAATTGTTAACAAATAGATTTCCCATAAATCATCTTGGTGAATGATTAAAATCAAGCTATACTCCTGAGGGACTATAAGAACAGTCTAATTAAAGTCAGTGAGAGATTCAAATTTTTAAAGTCCTGTTTGAACGCTGTGTCACTACGAAACAAGACAAAGCAATGTGAAAAAATTGTTTACCGGTGACTTTCCAGCAGCTCTTGACTTCAAAGTCTGAATTTTCTCAAAAACCAAGTTGACTTTCCTTTTTGTTGCATCATCATTATCAGCACTTCTGAAACACAGACATTACAAGTAAGCAACAAAATGATCAGAGGCGCCATTTTAACATCAAAACAAATTCAAAGTGTCCAAACCATTGAAAATCTAACACTGAGTAGAGTTTAACTCCAGAAGTATTTAAAACATAAAACATATTCTGAGGCACAAATTTCAAGTATATTTAATCAAATCCTCTACAATATCTCATGTAAGTCCTGACTGCATGGTTATTTTGAGATCTCAGAATGCCTTAAAGGACACAGCTGAGATAATTATGGAACAAACATTTCATTTAATTATAACTTGATTTTAAGTTTTATATTTTAAATGTTACAGAAAATAAGACTTTGAGAAAATACCGTCTGCTCTCCAAAAGTTAACTGTTTACTAACCCTTCCTTAAGGTAACTGTAAAGTATCTGTTTAGCAGTCTCTTCATTTGTTTGCTGTGCAAGATCTTGTTGGCCTTTTAAGAGATCAGGAGTTGCCTAAAAGGACAAGATAAAACGTCAAAAAATATAATCCTGTGAGGGCTGTAAATACAATATGTACAGCTGAAATTGCCTATTCTATTATGAAAACATTCAGGTACCATGAACCTAAAGTTCACAAAGACCTATTTGGTCTTACTGCAAGAAGAAAGAAAATACAATTTTGCATGGAGTTACTTATATTTCAGCCTTCCACTTTTGCACATTTTTGCTTAAGAATCATAGAATCATAGAACAATTCAGGTTGGAAAAGACCCTTGGGATCATCGAGTCCAACCATTAACCCTACACTACAAAGTCACCCCTAAACCATATCACCCAACATCCCATCTAAGCGACACTTGAACACATTCTGGGATGGCGACTCAACCCCCTCCCTAGGCAGTCTGTTCCAGGGTCTGACGTAGGCAGTCTGTTCCAGGGTCTGACCCCTCGTTCCATGAAGAATTTCTTCCTCATGTCCAGCCTAAACTTGCCCTGTTGCAACTTGCAACCATTCCCCCTGGTTCTGTCCCTAATTACCTGTGAGAAGAGACCAGCACCAACCTCTCTACAATGTCCTTTCAAGTAACTGTAGAGCATGATGAGGTCCCCACTCAGCCTCCTCTTCATCAATCTGAATGGCCCCAGCTCCCTCAATCGCTCCTCATAAGATCTATTCTCCAGGCTATTCACCACCTTTGTTGCCCTCTTCTGTACTCCCTCCAACACCTCATCATAACATCCTTTACAAAAATCTCCTTTGCATCCACCGTTTTCCTTTGTCCATACAAGAATAAGCTGGTTTACAAATCATGTTTTCTAAACCTGCATCTACAGGAATAATTTTTGTATTTACATTTCTTCAGAACAACTCTCCCATTTGGAAGTAATTGTGTTATGGGAGTTTGTTCTAATGAAGAGCAGAAAAATATGCATTTAAGGATATGACAGTTTTAGTATGCTAGAGTGCAAAATATAAAGAGTAAATTCAAAATTACCTGTATGTTAGGGGCAGATGAAAATGTTTTTACAGAAGTCTTGGCTCCTGAATCAGGTGGTATTGTAATTCGGTTTGGCAACAACAAAGTAGAAGTTACTGTTCTAACTTCCTCTCTCTTATTCTGCCCTGGAAGTGTACATGACCTAAACATCGAGCTCTCAGTTTCAGGTCCATTTTGTTTATGGTATTGCAAAGAATTGAAACTGCTGTTCTGAGTGTCTTTATCAGGCATTTGCAGTTTTCCAATACTTCGAGCAGAAATCTTCATCTCTTTGGAAGGTGACTTTTGATCTCTAGATAACTGCTTGTGAAGGCAAACTTTAGATGGCCTCAGTAAGTGCTCAGCTGACTTACCCACACTTTTATTGAATTCACCTAGATAATCTGAATTTACATCAAGCTCTAACGACAAGGCACTATCAACGCTTCTTGATCTTTTACGATCATCTGGATGAATTCTGTACCTCTTTCCTGACCTACCTCTTCTGTGAGGATCAACTTTCTTATCAAACTTTTCAATTAGCTGATCTACTCCTGGTAGTGACCCAGTATCAATATCACGACCAGTTCCGGGCAAAAACGGAATATATCTTCTGTTTTCATGTCGATTAACGTTGTCTGCATAGATGGCATACTCTTGGTCATCAAGTAAAAATCTGTATAAGGAATTTGCAGAAGTGGGAGTAGCTGATGAGGAAGATGATCTTCGTGAGTCATCCAATGCTGGCCCAGCTGAATCTTGTCTGCGAAAGGGAAGAACATCTGGTCTAGGTTTTCTTGTCTCTGGATAAGCAGTGGGACTAACACAGGGGGATCCTCCTGTAGATGAAAATGATTCTGAAACACACACTTCGTTGGGGCTGACTGTGCTACTGGGACAATTCCACAGCTGTTTATTTTCGTCTTCTACTGACCTGTTCAAATGCATCTTTTTTGAATTTCCTTGGGCTGGTTCTGCAAGATATGTATTTGTTTTCTGTAGGGATACTACTTTAGAAGAGGAAGTCCAAGGCTTTGCTTCACTTTTTTCATCCACAAAAGATTTAGATTTACTGCACACAGAAGACTGGCAATTATCCAAGTTCAAGTTATTCTTTTCAGGATCGTAAGGCTGAAGAAGTTCAGGGTGTCTTTGAAAGTTCAACAAATTGGAGGATTTCACAGATCCATCTTTAAAATCTGATATTCCATCTTCCTTTTCATCCAGATTAGTTATCTTTAGGCTTTTAAGCATACAGGGTTGCATGTGCTGTGTTCCAGGAAACTCTGCGTGTTCATTGGTTTTGTCCTCCAATTTAAAAACAGTATTGGAGTCTATGGCTGGCTTGCTTACAGTCTGAGAAATGACCTGCTGTTCTTTTCCAGGAGGAGGAGGAGGATTTTCTGACAAACATCCTTCTGTATTGTTTAGCACTATGTAAGGATGTCCATCAATTCCTTGGACTCTAATACTGACACCGTAAGATCCCGTCCTAGAATTTTGTGCATTTCTAGTCTTTTGAGTCTCCTCGCTTGCAAGTTCAAGAGTGACTTCATAGTCCTGCTGCACATGCTTAAACCCAGGAAAATATGGCTCCATGATTATCAGAAGATTATAGCTGAAAAGAAGAAAAATTACAAAGATGTCACAGTTTTAAATACTTCAGATTTATTTCATTTATTGCTTTATCCCATCATTCAGTGTGACTATGAAGACACATAGTAATAGGCAGAGAAACCAATATACTAGCTATACAGATCACATAATGAATGCACAAACAAGTGTCAAACTCACTGATTCTGGATCAATGTAATGCTATTTTACGTCTGTACAAGTTAAGAAATGGTTAAGATTACCTACACAGAATTGGTGCTAGATGCTTTGGAATCAAATTTTTACAACTGTACTTAGACTGTACCTTTCACAAATCAATGATCATTTTATAGCCAGCAGTGAGTCCTAGCCATATTAACATTTAAACGTAAGTCCAGGAGAGCAAAACACAACCAGGCAATTTTAGGTAATGAGTTTTAGGTAACAAAAGCGCCGCAAGGAAGGTCAATATCCTCATACCTTTAAGTGGCACTTTTATTTACCTAGGTTTCAACATGTGTTTCTAAAGACAATCAAAAATAAACTTTTTCACTTATAATCTCATTGTCATCCATAAGAATACATTTTCCTACAAATCAATTTGACAGTTCCCTAATTGCAAGCTTGTTCTAGAAAAGTCCAGTCGCTATTTTAAAACAGACACTTTGCTGAGCAACAGAAATGGAATAATACTGCCAGTATTTCCAAGGCTGATAGTACCTTTTTCAGAAGCAAGAGGAATGCTGACTCCAGCCTACATGTGCCAAAATTGTTTCAGTTCTAGAACACAATAAATTAAACCCTACCAGCACTTTTAATGTTAAATGCCATTCTTTCTGTAAAGATAAGGCTTTGTGGGTAGTTTACTTTCTGTGGCACATTATGAGCCAACTGTCTAGTGGCAGAGGCAATGCAGTGACAGTAAGAGCTATGCCTATAAAAGGATGGAACACAGGACTGTCAGACTGATGGAAAACCTGGAGGGAATAAACTTTTGAACTGAGACGGAGAGTTGAGTAATCACTGAAGCCTGACAAAACCAAGATAACTTAACAGCGGTGAGTAATCATCAAGAGGAAACACAAACAACAGGATGTCTCATGGAAAAACAAACCTCTGCAGCCAGTTTCACTCTCCTGTATCAGCATGAACAATCTCCTTCAGATATTCAATTAACAGCATAATTGTAATTTTTTCCTGACAGTGAATTAAAACATTTAGCTCAATATTTATAGTATGCTCGTTCCCACCCGATTCTTCTTTCTACCAGGCCAGTTCACCTCAAAAAACTTCTTCCTCTCCCTAAAAACCAATTCCAGCTCCTCCCCAACAGCAGGCTTACCTCACCTGAAGATAGCAGCATGTTTCTCTAAGTACAATGCTAGGTATCAAGTGACTATTTTAATGAAGAAAAAAAGCAGTCTCACTGTCAAAGTCTTCCTTACATAGAATCATAGAATGGCCTAGGCTGGAAGGGACCTTAGAGATCATCTAGTCCAACCTCCCTGTTTTGGGCAGGGACGCCACCTCTCGACTAGACCTGGCAACACATGGGGACCCAGCGGGAATTGAACCCGCAACCTCGGTGTTGGTCCTTATTGCCAGCACCGCGCTCAAACCACTGAGCTAACCAGCCCCCTAAATATTGAAAGATGCAGTGAACTAGTTAAATTGAACAGAATTCAGCGGTTAAACTCACTTAGCAAAGGTCAGTAAATAGACTATGGATTTTATCTCCATTTAAGACCTCCAGGAGTAGGAAGAGAAGCAGAACTAGGCAAAAGTAAAGATGAGCCAGAGAAGGCTCAGTGGAAAAATAAAGAAGGAAGCACAATGGAAGGAAACCACAAGGACCAACACACTTCATTATCTCAAGCCTCTATTGTGAGTGTTTCTCCATACTTGATCACCTTTTTTTCTGAATACTCATAAGATCTCCCATTAATTACATCATTTTGGTGTACGATACAAAAATAACAGAGTAAAAACAGTAGAAGCTGATTCTAATCACCTAGAATCAATGAAGGGATCTTCATTGATGTAGTGTGGTTTTTTTGACCGGGGCACTGAAATCAGCTTCTGGGTTGCACTGGTTCAGCAAATCCAGTCACCATCTAGAACAAGTCCAAAAGAACACAGAATTAAAGATTCAAGAAACACAGTCAGGTATGAACAAAGCAGATTCACTCCACTATGTAACAGATTAAGTTTTACAGATATCATTGAAGCACATTCACTATATTCCTCAGACCACAAACTTTATTTGAAATTTCAGCAAAAGAGCAATTTTCAATCAAATACCTCTTTGAAAACTGTCAAGAACTGAAAGAGGCTCCTTAATGAGTTTTCCATAGACTCAGGTCAAGCCTGTAGGCCTAAGCCTTTGTATCTGCATAGGCCCTTCCTCACTCTGAAACCTCATGAAAACCATGTGTGGTCCCTATGTGGTGACATTCAGTTTTATCAGGCTACAGGACCAAGTTCTTTAAAAAGTTCCAAATATGTTGTTTTGAAAGATGCTTACTTCAGTTCAACGCTGTATGTTACTAAAAATGTAGGCCATAACACAACAGTTCTAGGATCTCATTATCTCAGCTTGTACAATCCTCCCTGCTCCTTTTGTGTGCCAGCAACTACACAGTCACACAGCTTTACCGATCCAGAAAAAAAAACAGTTTTCCATCAGATCAGCAAGTGAGGCACCAGGGAATGACAGGATCACCTATTTTGGCAGCAACATGACCTTGGACTGCTTGAGGCTATCACAAAATTCCAAACTGAATTTGTGTTTTAACTCCATTTTCAGGGACAGAAACCTTTAAAACCTTCTGCAAACAAACAAAAAAAACCCAACAAAATTGGGACTCAGAGCTGTTCAGGCCTTTTCAGTTTTGGGTTTTCTTTTTAAAATAAGCCTTCATAATGGTGTTTAAACATTTCCTTTAAATACTGGCCTTCACTGAAAGTCCCATAATTTCTCATTAGTCAGAAATGGTTTCATGTTTCTGAACAACCTATTTTTGTGAAAAATACAAACTATGGCAATTTTTGTTTATAAAGCAAACTTGTCAGAAGAGACTCTCATGTCTGAAAAATGCAGTACTCTGCATGTTCTTCCTTAGCAATTTGATCTTCAGCGGTGATACAATACTTTTTAAAGAAACACAGGAGAGGAATACTAGAAGTTTAACAGGTCAAAACCACTTTTTTCTAAAATGTCTTCAAAAGATTTCCTGTCACAGCTATTTTAAAGATAAGTACCAGGAGCTTTGTGAGACCTGCCTTACAAAAAAAAAGAAAACCCTTGCGATCTGGAATCCCGTCTGCTCTCCCTGCCAACACGCAGAAAAGAGTGCCTTTGATAAACACACTCTTCTGCCAGACATGGCTGTTCCCTTCAGTGGCTTTGCAGCCTTCCTAACATTACAGCATCACAAAGGCATGGAAGTGTGTCCACTCATCCATTTCAGTTCACCTATACCCAAATCCACAACGCAGTCCTGTTAAATGCCACACTTGGCACGTGAAGCTTGCTCTTCTGAAACCTGCCCAGACATCCTCATTACTAAGCGTGCCTCTAACACATCTGCCATAAAGCACCTCACGCTTCCTGCTTCCAGCAGGCAAACCAACCAGCTGCACTGGACAGACAGGGCTCCTGGCAGTTAGAACACAGGCAGAGAAGGTGAGTGGCGCGTGGGGGGACACACTATACCACCAGCGGATGTGTTCCTTGGCGTCCTTAAAGTACCATAGATCCTTCACAGGTATTGCCTCATATTACATGCATCCCTTTGCATACATCTAGTGAAGGAATATGAAAGAATAAAAAATATCAGACTTTTCCATTTTTCCTGTGGCACTAGGACCCTTCCTTGGCTCCCCTGATGACAGAAAAACAGGAACTTCCTCACATCTAGTATCATAATCCTGAGACTTCTAAGAACGAACCAGCTGAAGATTTTTCATTAAAGGAAGATTAGGGCATACTGCACTATCTTCTCTTCAGAGAAGTGAACTTTGAGAATTCTGAAAATTTCAAGCTGTTTAAAGCTAAATTATCAAACTATATTTGGTTCCATGGAATTTATTTCCAAATTTTCTTGCCACAAAACAAAAAATCACTGCTGATGCTATTTAATCAGTGCCTTTTTTAAAAAAAAAGAGAGATGTAACAGGTTATGGATATTTACTCCAGATTTTTCACACATGCACAGCAAAATGCCAGGAAGGAACTATAAAATCTGTCCTCTAGCTTTACGTAACACTGAACTTGCTCTCCAAGCTAAATAATGGATTCTCTGTGCAGCTGACTATTCAGAAAGTACCAGCAATACCACAAAAAAAACAAAGTGGGTGTTAGGTCAATAATAAATGACAGTGGCACAGAAAAAGGACAGGAAATTAGGAGAGAAGAGGAAGGAAAAGTTACATACTGTAGAAGGTAAAGAAAAGGAAGCAGACAGGATAATTCATGGAAGGACCAAAACTGTAATGTTTTTACACTTGGAGGAACAAAATCTCACAAACATTCCCTGCAAGCATGAGAGGAAACTTCATGACTGCCAATTCCACCTACAATCCCTACAATGCGATGCTTCTGCAAAAGGAAAATGGACCTGGGTTGCTGTCCCTTTTAGTCTATATGGAAGATGCTCTGGAGTAACTGAGTTTATATGATCTACTGCTTACAAGAGAAGAGGGAGAAAAGTGAAATTACAAATCTCTAGATATGGGACTTCAAAAAGTGACAGTGAAACTCATTTAAGAGCAAACTGGTAATAGTCTGGAACAGAAAGATACCTGAAACAACAAATTTGCCATCCTTCCAGTAGATTCCTTAACCCCATTTAAGTTTTCGTCCTACTTGACATGTATATTTTTGTTGATATAAAATGTTATTTGCATCATATCTGACAGTCCTTCCTCACAATTATAAGAAAAAAAATTGTAATTTACAGAATACAGTAAAATTTCCACAACAATTTCTTCATATCCCTGTGTTG